AAAATCATGTCATCATGAAATGACAACGACAAAATCATCAATGCTTTTAAATCATTTCTTGAATGAACGCGAGCTTCGGTGATTCGAATCGGGCGGTCTCGGGCTGCCTCGGGCGCTGCGGTGTGACGTGCGACGTTGCGAGACTTCGCGATCGGCGATAGGTACTGGCTGAAGTCACAGAACTTATAGTTCGTAAAAGTTAGCTTGATCTCTGCGCAGCTGTCAGTAAAAATCACGCCTATGAAGTCCTGAATTTCTTAGTAGTACACACTAATGGTGGTTAATATAGCGCATAGCGCCATATTATAGCGCGCTATCTCTTCATAACACATAGCGCGTGTTATGTAAGTAGCGCAATAGCGCCATGGCGCTTACGAAATAATGTTCTTAAGTCGCTCGCGTTCGTAGGCTTTGACCACCTGTTCCTAGGCCCACCCTACACGTGTCCCCCGGGTGGTGCTAAATGAGCGACAAGCCGATACCACAGACTCGGCTCCACGCCGTGGTAGCGGCGTTAAATATACCACCCCATTTCGCACCATGAGGAATCGAATTATAGAAATGGCCCCGAGTTCCCGGCGCCCCTTTAATGGGGCAGGGGTGCGAAGAATCTCCGGGAGGAAAACCGGCGACGAGGTTCGCCACCCGTCACGCTCTGTCTCTCGGAGAGGCGAAAAATTGATTGCAGAGACCTGTCTGGCTACGTTGAATGTATGTGGGGCAATGAATGATAAAATGGATGAAGTATGCGATATGATGTATGATAGAGGAATAGATGTGTTATGCGTAAATGAGACGAAAAGGAAGGGGAAGGATCTCACTACACATGGCATGTATACCGCATACTGGTCTGGTGTAGACGAGATCGAGCGGGCATGCCAGGGAGTAGGTTCCTTTCAGAAAGAATGGGCCAATGTGTGAAAGAGTATGAATGTGTAAGCCCAAGACTGCTATGGATACGAATGAAAGTGGGCTTAAAGAAGTTGTTTGTGTTAGGGGTCTACGCCCCAGACATGTCTAAGCCCACTTATATCCGAGAGCAGTTTTGGGAAATGGTAAGGATGGTGTTAATGAAGTGTAAGGGCACTGAAAATATTATTATGCTAGGAGATTTTAATGGAAGGGTTGGAGTCAGGAGGCTTGGTTATGAAAGGATATTGGGAACGTTTGGTGATGAAAGTATAAATGAGAATGGTGAAAGTCTCCTCACCGTATGTATGGAAAATAATCTTTTTGTAACGAACACTTGCTTTCGCCACAAGAGGATTCACATGTATACTTGGGAAAGAGGTGACGATAGAAGCATGATAGATTTCATAATTGTGGATGAAAGATTGAGGGGCGCAGTGGTAGATACGAGAGTTTACCGGGGTTCTAACGTAGTAACGGATCATTATTTAGTTTTATGCCGAATTAATGGTCTATTCAGGCGTTGGCGCCATCGATCGTCTGTGTCTACCACTGCGTTACAGCGTATTAGAACAGAAAGGTTACAAGATGAAAGTGATAAAAACAAGTTCAAATGTAGACTGAAAGAAAATATAAGTGGTTTGGATGAATTATGTATGAAGGAGTTAGACTTGGAGAATATATGGCAAAATGTAAAGAAAAGTTTAGTGGATGCAGCTACCGAAGTATGTGGTGTTAGTAAGAGAAAGAATGAAAGGAAAAATAATACGTTATGGTGGGATGATGAGATACGTATGGAAGTTGAAGCAAAGAAGAGAGCATGGCTAGATTTACTAGCAGCAAAGGCTGCTAATTCTAGTGGTACGAATGGTGATATTGAAAGAAAAAAGGCAGTCTTTAGACATCTTAATAAGAGAGTAAAAGAAGTAGTTGAAAGAAAAAAGCAAGAAAGAACGGATAAGAATGATAGAAGAATATCGGATAACTTCCAGGCAAATATTAAAATGTTCTGGAAACTTGTAAGAACTGCCAGGGGACATTCAAAACAGCCTATGATGAATGCTATAAGAGACGAGAATGGCTATATTCTGAATGATGAAGTTTTGAGTTTAAAGAGATGGAAGGAATATTATGAAAGCGTGTTTATGAGTGAGGAGACAACGTGTGTACTAAGTGAAGTAGAAACACCGAAAGAAGAGGAAAGAGGTATCGAGATAAGTATAGATGAAATAATGAAAGCAATGAAAAGCATGAAAGCAGATAAGGCTGCCGGATATGATAGAGTTTCACTCGAAATGCTAAGGGCTGGAGAGGAAGTGGTGGCAGGCCTGATGCACACCTTGTTTAATTTATGCTGGGAACTGAAGCGGGTACCGGTAGACAGGTGCAAAGCCGTGATAGTCCCTGTATATAAAGGAAAAGGGTCGCAGCAGGACTGTAAAAACTACCGTGGCATCAGCCTTCTTAGCATTGTGGGAAAACTGTATGCTAAGGTACTGATTGAAAGGGTCATGAAAGAAACTGATGGAAAAATTTGGGATGTGCAAGCGGGATTTAGAAAGGGAATGGGATGTACAGATCAAGTCTTTTCCATGCGCATGATCGCGGAGAAGTTTCTGGCCAAAAACCAAAAGGTTTTTTGTGCGTTCATGGACTTGGAAAAGGCCAATGACAGAGTGGATAGGGATTTGCTATGGCAAACACTGAACTCATTTGGGTTGAGCGCTGGCTTGATACAGGCATTGGAGTCTCTTTATAGGGACTCTAGTGCTTGTGTTAGGATCAACGGGGTCTACTCGGACTGGTTTGACATCCATAAAAGTGTCAGACAGGGCTGTGTGGCTTCCCCGTGGCTGTTCAACCTATTTATGGACAGTTGTTTGCAAAATTTGAAAGTTGAAGAATGCGGATTAAGAAAGGGTGAGTTAACCGTCAAATGCCTTTTGTACGCCGATGATCAAGTTATTCTTGCGTCGTCGGCGGCCGGGTTGCAAATGATGGTTACATTAATGAACGGATCATTAAAAGAAAGGGGTATGAAAGTGAACGCAAGTAAGACGAAGGTTATGGTTTTTGAAAGAGAAGAAAGTAAAACGATTTGTGAAATAAGAATAGAAGGGGAGTTGATCGAGCAAGTAGATGAGTTTGTATATTTGGGCTGCGTATATAGCAGGGATGGGAGATATGATAAGGATATAGAACGACGAGTGAATGCGGGAAATAGAGTAAATGGGGCCTTGCACTCTATTGTGAAGAGTCAAAATGTGTCGAAAATGCACGTATGGCAATTCAAAATGCTGTGTTGGTCCCTACTTTAACGTATGGTAGTGAAAGTTGGGTGTGGCAGAAGAAGCACGAGAGTAGAATAAACGCAGTAGAAATGCGGTCGTTAAGGAGTATGTTAGGGCTGAATCTGAATGACAGGGTAAGAAATTGTGTAATAAGAGAAGAGTGTGGTTTGCAAGATGATGTTGTGACCAGGATTAAGAAAGGAATGCTTCGGTGGTTTGGTCATGTGGAAAGAATGAATGAGGAAAGAGTGACAAAGAAAACTTATGGTGCAGAAGTGAATGGCAGAGTCGGAAAGGGACGTCCTAGGCGAAAATTTATCGACCAAATTGGCGATTTATTGAAAACGGGCCAAATTAGGAGTACCCTTAACCGACGAGCATGTATGCGTAGGTGTATGGATGTGAAGGAGGCAAGAGAGGTGTGTTAGGATCGTGCCAAATGGAAGTCTGTAGTCTCTGCCTACCCCTCTGGGTGACAGGCGTGAGTGTTTATGTTTATGTATGTACGTTCTTATGTAGCACGCGATCTATCCAATGAACGACATGTAATGTAATAAGAGATATAACGTGCTGTAAAACTTAACGCGCTTACCGGCCTCCTACACGCTTTCTTATAAATAACGCGCTATAACATAGCGTATTTAATAGCGCGCTAGAAATCTATAGTTTATAGTCTGTAGTGTGCTATTGATTTATAGTCGTTTTGAACAACTTTAGTACACACAGTACCTGTCAATGTCATACTTTATGGGTATGCACTCATTAGGTCGGCATGCCCATAAAGTATGACATTGACAGGTACTGTCTGTACTACTAAGAAATTCAGGACTTCATAGGCGTGATTTTACTGACAGCTGTCGCAGAGATCAAGCTATCTTTTATGAACTATACAAGTTTCGATAAAATGACCGGCGCGGGGGTGCACAGCAAGTGTGCTGTGGCACGGAACGGCAACAAACAATGCTTTTACTTGCGTTGTTTACGTTTGCGCGCGAAATGCACGGCAAATTACGAATGCTATTTTATCTAGCATTTCGTATCGCCTGAATCAATTGTTTTGGTTAGACGAAGACGACCAACCAGCCAACCACGCGTACGAAATACGTTGTGTAATGTGTTCTCGCTATAATTGGCTTTTTGATACGTTATAGTGAATTTAGTTTAGTGAAGTTACCTATATCATTGATTTTAAAACCAAGTTTACACATTTAGAGTTTAGGTACTTACTTAGTATTTTGTGTACTTTGTAAAAAAAAACTTTGTGTATCGTAACGTTCTACAGTGGGTGGACTTATTTATTATGTTTTTCTATTTTATAGGCAAGAAAGGTTTAGTGCTATGTTCTCAGTTTGTATCTAAATATTCAAAAATGGCTTCAACTGTAAGAAAAACATCCAACGTATGGGTACATTTTGACATTGAATCTGTTGGTGAAAAAACAGTAGTATGTAAATTGTGCAGGGTAAAATTATCCTATAAAACTTCCTCAATAAATTTAAAATAACATATTTTAAGAAAACACCCTACGGTTGAAATTCAAGATGTACGGAGGAATATGATGCACCAACCAACACATTTCAGAACAACCTTTGGAACAGGAAGCTGGCCCTTCTAATCCAGCAGGATCCCAAAACCTTTCGTCTGTTGTTGCTTCTTCTGCTTGTGACTCAGCCGAGGGTCATCCATTGCCACAACCACGCGTTATTCAGCAGGCTTTAGTTCGTCAACCTACAATTGCTCAATTCACTCAGAGAAAAAAAAATTACCCCATCTAAACAGGAAAGGTTAAATAAACTGCTAATGAAATTGTTCATATTAGATTTTCAACCTTTCAGCATTGTGGAAGACAAGGGCTTTGTTGAATTTCTTCATGGTTTAAATCCCATTTACCAACTACGTAGTCGTAAGTACCTTTCAAAAACTTTACTGCCATCAATGTACGAGAAAGTTTTGAATGAAACTAAAATAAAAATTACTGAAGAAGCAACAAGTGTATGCCTTACTACCGACTGCTGGACATCAAAAGCAAATGAATCATATATGGCTATAACAGCTCATTGTGAAGTACTCCATGGACATCATACCGCCATAAACCTAGCAGGTCAATTAAGGACATGTGCATCGACTTGGAACATTACAGGCAAAATAACCATTGTCGTGTCTGACAACGCGAGTAATATAGTTTCCGCTATCACGAGTGAGCTGAATTGGCGCCATTTTGGATGTTATGCACATTGTTTAAATTTAATCGTCAAGAGTGGATTAAACGTTGAAAATTTGCAACAGACGATTACCAAAGTGAAGACCATTGTAGCTTTTTACAAACGTAGCGCTTTGGCCACAGAAACATTTGTAAAATATCAAGTACAACAATCAGAGGCGAAAACAGCAAAAAAACTTACTCTATCTGTGGAAACTCAGTGGAACTCTGAATTTCATATGCTGCAGCGGTTTGCTGAACTTAGAGAGGCTGTAACTGCAACACTTACACTCAGCAACTTCAAAGGTACATATCTTGAAGAAAATGATTGGATAATTATTCAAGATTTGCAGTGCGTGCTTAAACCCTTCGATGAAGTGTCTAGATAGATAGATAGATAGATAATTCTTTATTGTACACCAAATCAATACATAAACGAAAGAAGAAGAAAAAAAATAGTGTCACAATGGGCGGTCTTATCGCTAAAAGCGATTTCTTCCAGACAACCTTTGGATGGACAGGATCGCAAAAAATAGTAAATTGTGTGGTTTGGTGATGCAGAAACAATATTTATAAAAATATCCATATTTTATATAATATAATTAGAAATAAACAACAAATAAATACAAAAAAAAATACGAATGTATACTACATATATAAATGGCACGAACTCAAAGATTAAGATAGTGACTGTGCACAAGTTTCTGAAAAACAGGTAAAGACTGGGCGCGTCTCACTGACAGAGGTAGGGTATTCCATAGACGGACTGCTTGGATACTAAACGACCTGTCCATAAATTTGCTATTATGGGCAGGCATTTTTAATGTAAAATTCTCTGATGATCTCAAAACTTTCGAATGGGAATAGTGAAGGAATTCAAAACGATCCTTAAGATAAGAAGGATAGGAAGGATTAAAGAGAACATTGTAAAGAAGTGATAGAATATGAGCATTCCGGATAGGAAGCCACTTGAGCTTATTACGAAAACAAGATACGTGATCATATTTGCGTAAACCAAATATGAATCTTATACAAAAGTTTTGAAGACGCTCAAGTTTATCAAGTTGCTTCTCAGTGAGATCAAGATAGCTGACATCTGCATAGTCCACAATTGGGAGAAGAAGAGATTGAGCAAGCGCAATTTTAGTGGCAGTAGGTAGAAAGTTCCTTAATCTGTTCAACGATCGGGCAGCTGCAAAGAGTTTACGACTAACCTCCTGTATTTGAGGACCCCATGATAGGTTACTGTCAATATAAATTCCCAAGTCCTTGACTTTTTCACTCACAGGAATAAAATTTCCATTAAAAACAACTTGAGGTGCTTGAGATATGTTAGATTTTCCAATCATATACGAACTTCCGATGATAATTACCTGAGTCTTTAGGGGGTTAATCTTCAAGCCATATGTTTTTGCCCAATCTGATATTTGCTCAAGATCACTGTTTATGTTGCTAATAGCTACATCTACTTCACTAGGAGAAACATGAGTATATATTTGAAGATCATCTGCGTAAAGGTGGTAGGACGAAGTAATCTTAGTGGCTATAGAATTAATAAAAATTGAGAAAAGTAAGGGAGATATTACGCCACCCTGCGGGACGCCAGCAATGGTATCACACCAAGAAGAAAATGTGTCATCAATGCGAATACGTTGCCGGCGCCCAGACAGGTAACTTCGAAACCAATCAATCACTGTTGGAGATATGTTAAGAGAGCTAAGTATACCCAGTAAAATTTCAAAATCAACTGAGTTAAAGGCATTGCTAAAATCTAACAGAGAAAGGATAGTTAACTTGCCATTTTCCATTGCAGATCTAATATCTTCCGTAATATTGACTAAGGCTGTAGCAGTACTATGCCCAGGGCGAAAACCGGATTGTAGAGGATTTAGAAGGGAATGATTGTGGAGGAAAGCATTGAGCTGATTATTTATTTATTTATTTAAGCTTTATTTGCACACATAAAAGAAATGTACAAAACGGCGGACTTAATGCCTAAAGGCATTCTCTACCAGTCTACCTTTGGTTTGTGCAGAGAATCTAGTGATGGGTGCAAAACTCATAATTAAAAAAAATTAAAGGTTTAAGGAAAAAATACAAAATTATAATATAATGATAATAAACAATACACATACATATACATTTACATTACTACTTACATGCATACAATATTATTTTATATATATACACAACCCACAATAAATACATACACAATAAATAAATATGATATTTTTATATTATACATACTTGAGAATATAACAGTTTCTGAAGTTTTTAAATTTTTTATTATAATCCGAAACTACTACTGCTTCGTTAAGTAATATTCCCAGAGTAAACGTTTAAAGATAGGTTTAGTTTTTGCTTCTTTTATATTTCTGGGTAACATGTTCCAGAGTCTTACTGCATTTGAAGTGAAAGAATTGTAAGAGAAGCCCGTGCGACAGAAAGGAACATGAAGAGTTAGATTTTCCGCGGAACGAAGACATCGGTTGTGAGAATCGCCCTGATACTGAAATTTGCATTTCAGATATGCAGGGACAAACGGATCGTGTAAAATAGAGAATAGCATAGAAAGGATTCTAAAAGATCTTCGAAGTGGAAGAGGCAGCCATTTGAGCTGAGAACGGAATGAAGAGACGTGATCGAATTTACGTAAGCCAAAGATAAAGCGAATACAATTATTGAGAAGACGATCCAGTTTGTTAAGAAGTTCTTGAGAGGCATTAGCATGGCATACATCTGGATAATCTAGTATTGGTAATACGAGCGTTTGAACCAACATTACCTTTGTTCTCACTGGAAGAAAATTCTTGAGTCGATACAGACAACGCAAGGTGTTGATAACTTTTTTGCTTACTTCCGTGACTTGCGGCCGCCAACTTAGACTGCTGTCAATGATAAATCCTAGATTTTTTACAGTAGCTGAATAAGGTATGACAGCATTATTAAAATTTACAGGTGGCAGTGAATTAAAATCCAATGTAGATAAGCGACGGCTACTTCCAACTATAATTGCCTGGCACTTGGTAGTATTAACAGTAATACCGAATTTGCTAGACCAATCAGAGATACGAGTGAGGTCAGAGTTTAGCTCAGTGATCGCATCTTCGATATCGTTAACATCAGACTGAGCATATATTTGTAAGTCATCGGCATAGAGATGGTACATGCAGCGAATGTGAGATGTAATGAGATTTATAAAAATTGAAAACAAAAGAGGTGAGAGAATTCCGCCTTGAGGAACGCCAGCAACCAGCGTGCACCAGACAGAAATAACTGGACCCACGCGAACAGCCTGCTAACGTCCCTGATGATAGGATGCGAACCATTCCCGCGCTGATGAGGAGAAACCCATGTGAGAAAGTATTGTAAGAAGGATGTCATGATCAACAGCATTAAAAGCGTTTGAGAAATCTATTAAAACTAACACAGTTAATTTTGACTCCTCCATACCTATACGTAAATCTTCCGTAACTTTAAGCAGGGCTGTTGTTGTACTATGTCCTGGCCTGAAACCTGATTGATAGCTACTTAAAAAGTTATTTTTAAAAACGAAGTCAGAAATTTGTCTGTGAGCAACAGCTTCAAGTACTTTTGATAAAAAAGGAAGAATAGAGATAGGACGAAAGTGAGAAACAGAACTAGGATTATTTATTTTTGGAAGTGGGAGAACAAAAGCATTTCGCCATAGTGAAGGAAAAACCCCAGTATCTAATGAAAAATTTACTATGTGGGTAAGTACTGGTAAGACATAATCGAGGATGAGATTGATCATGATTCTGCTCACATCATCAAGGCCTACTGCGGCGGACTTGATGGATGAAATTGACTTTTTTATATCCTCATCAGTAACGGGAGAAAAATTGAAAGAGCTTTTGTAAAATTTTGGAAGAGAATTCACATGGGCAATAGTAGTAGATTTAATTGACGAATGCAGTTGTGGTGCAGTAGAAAAGTATGTATTAAGTTGATTAACAGAGAATATTGAAGGATCAAAGTTAGAAGCAGGTTTACCTATCCCGATTGATTTTAAAAATTTCCACGAATCAGCAATAGAAGCGTTAAGGATATTTCGATGAATATAACGGCGTTTAGCGGCCCGCACCATCTGATTACACCGATTCCTAGCGGCTTTGAATCGAGTCCAGTTAACAGTACACCGATTTCTCTTATATTTACTAAATTCTCGATCACGCTTTGCCATAGCCCTGCGGATATCCTCACTAATCCACGGCGCAGGAGATCGTTTCAGTCTGACTTTATGTGGAGGAGCGTGTTTATCAAACAACTTCTGTATATTTGAATTAAAAAGAGCTACTTTTTCGTCAACACTCTCTACGCTGTAAGTATCACTCCAATCTATACTACAAGCATCTTGCTGAAGTTCTTCAACATTAAGTCTCGCTAGATTACGCAGATGCACCATCACATGATTGACCTTAGGACATTTAATCCTATAAGAAATATACAGTAAATCGTGCCGCGAAAACCCAGGGGCGGAGAGTTGACCATGGCCAACGATATGGTCTTCAGAAGCGACCACTATTAAATCTATTAAAGAATCAGCAGTATCAAGATTGTGGTGTGTGGAGTCGAGAGGAAGAAGTGACAAATTAAAGAAGTTCATAACTGTATACAATTCACGTGACCTCGCAGAGTTACAGAGAATATCGGTATTGAAGTCTCCCATTATAATGAAGTGCTGATAATCAGAGCCGATAGAAAAAAGAACCGATTCAAGGTCACAAAAATAATTAACTCCTGGTGGACAGTAAATTGCACCGAGAACAGTCTTAGTCCCACTGATGGTAATCTCCAAGAACATGTATTCTATTGTACCAGAATAAACAGAAGAAGAAGCACATAATTGTTTATAGGGTATACCATTACGTAAGTATACCGCTACTCCACCACCTCTTTTGCCCGTACGATCATTTCTTAAGAGGACAAAACCAGGTATTACAAAGGAGGTGGACGGTAAGGTAGGTTTTAACCACCTTTCCGAAACAAGTATCGCAGAAATAGACTGATTATGAAAAGTATCAACAAGTTCATTATAATGTTGCGGAATGCTCTGAGCGTTAATGTAACAAACGTTAAAGTTATTAGTCAAACCATGAAACTTTTGAGTAAGCAGATAACGAAGAGTAGTAGGTTCCGAAAAAGAGTCATTTAGTGAAAAAAAAGAAGAATCTGAATCAACAGAGAGAAATAGTTCATTGGTATCAGAATCTGTCATAATATATGATTATACTTATGATATACGTATATATATTATTTATATAAAGTATATTCTAATCTAATACTTTATAGTCTAAGTCTAAAAAAATAAAAAAACCCTATTAACTGATAATTGCACTGCAAACAAACGCGCCGGTAAACTGTTTAC